ATTTTCGATGAGTTCCGAGCTGAGCTCGTTCGAGCTCTACGCAACTTCGATTCCATCCCTGTCGTCCTTTGTTCCGTTCCAATCTCAATCGGCACCGTCGTTGTAGGCAGGTATTCGACTCGGGCTCGAGTCCCGAGGTCTCAGTGCGATGTCTGCCTGTGTGTTCTGATTGAAATTCGTGACATCACCAGAATGATGATGAGATTTTTTTATTCACCCGTTGGTCTGACGTCGCTGATGTTGAGATCGGTCTGAATGATCTATTTCGGTTGCCCATGCGACCTTATGCAGCGGATGACGGCATTCTCGATCGCCATATCGAGGACTCGATCCGACCGCTCAGTGACGTCCGTGAATTTGATGCGCCTATTGATTTGGAGCAGCCACGGGCGCTCTGCAGGATTGCGAAATGAACGCAAGGCGGGCTGGGGTCGCCCCGCATCGACCGCCTCGGATTCTCTCCGGAGATGACCTTCACGTGAGACTGGGCTCCTCAGACGGACACTCAGACGGGCTCTCCGCATCGGTCCGTCGATCACTCGGTCAATGAGTCCATCGCTCAGTCGATCAGTTCGTCATCGAACGCAGCCCCGCTCCCGCAGCCGTTCGCTCTGTCGGTCAGCTGTGGACGAGACTCTCTCGATGATTTGATTTGTGTCCGCGTCTCACCGAACATGTCCTTCACGGAGTTGCCTGGGCGTGCGGACCTCCGAGGAGCCAGTCTGTTCCGTTGAATAATTCTACAGTCGATATCTGAATAAGTTCCCTTGCTCTCCCTTCGACATTCCGTTTTCTTAATTCTCCGTAGACTTCTCCGTCATCATCTTAGATTGTTTCTGGAGCGAGGCGGAACGGGACGTAATACGTGGGGCTACGAAGGGATGCACGTTCTCTAGCTGTCGGGCACTGGCGGAATCCACAACTGCGGACCCCTCACGAAAAGGCCGCTCTCGAGCTCTTCCTGAACGTGCGCTGGGCCTCTCCGTCCCCGTGCTCCTGACGGTGGGTCTCCTTTACGAAAGTGCGAAGAGAGAGATGTAAGGGACGTTTTCCTCTCTTTCACTCGGAGCAAGAACAGCGGTGGCAACGGCTCTCCTGTGAGCAACTTGCCGTTTAGTAGAGCTACGAGTAGTACATGCGTCCCCCGTTTCCCCGCGCGCCTGAAGCACCAGCCGTGGCGAACGGACTACAAACCGGCAGACGGAGTCGAGTGAACACTTGGCCGAGGCTGCTCCTCTGTCGACACGCAAAACGGCGCTAGGCTCAGACAGACGGATCGAGGAACAAAGGCCTTCCCCTCGTCAAACGAGCGGCGACGACGAGAGAATTGCGCGTACGGGCAGCCTATGAACCGGGTAAAAGATACGACAGGGATGATGACAACGCAACCGGGGAAGACAGAAGCTCGGCCCGATTGAAAGCAGCGAGAAGGGCGAACCTGTGTTGTCCTTGTCGGGAGGAGAGCCCCTCGAGCCGATTGAATTCTCGCAGCTCCTTTCTCTCGACGAGCGAGCGCCTTTCGACTCTATTATCTCGGGAGTCGTTTCGAAACGACGAATCGTGAGGGGGATCATTACGTAAGCAGAAATCTCGCGGCGAAAGCTCTATATGGATTAATGTTTTTATTTTTCGGAGTCTCCAATACGAGCAAAGAGCCGTTGGAGGGCCGCAATACGGAACGCGGCGTACATACCCGATAGAAGAATACTCGGGTATTTTCAGCGCGTCATTCCTAATATTCCGATTGACACACCCATTACGATATTGTTGCTCCGCTCTCCGCTGACTGAGTGAGAGACTGCCATAGCAGCCAACATTAAGGAAATAGCGACGTCGTTTCCAAATACTCCCGGAGCTGAGCTCCTCCTCTCGTGCGGCCTGCTGTTACCCTTGCGGCGCAGAGCCTGGAACTTGAAGCTCGCTTACGGTGCGGCGGTACGCCATTTATCAAATTGTACTCGAACAAAAGAAATTCATATGCCAATACTGGTTCGCTTCCGCTGGCGGGTTCTGCTCGGTCCGATAAAGTCCTCGTTCGTGTTCCCTCTTCTTCTTGTTCGCGTTCCTGTTCTTCCTTACTCGAATCTTCCCCGATTCCTCGTCTGTGCCCTCGAATTCCTTGGCTTGGGATGGGACGTTGGGGGAGCGCTGGCGGACCGTGGAGCCGACGGGAACTCTTCGCTAGACTCTACCATCTTGCCAACGTCGGTCGGATAGCCCTGATTGAAGTGCGTCGACCAGATGATCGATTCCTGTTTCCAAGAGAACTTTTATTAAAGACTTCCGATGCTACTACTTTAGGATGTCGAGACTGTTGGTGGCTCCTACGGAAAATGGGATTTAAAATTTCAATAATCAAAACATCGATCATGAATAAGTCGAGAATACGCCGCCGCCTGATGGACAAACTGGCTGAGGAGCATCACCGATGGAACTTTCGATCGTCCGGTCCGGCAGCCAGATCGGGCAATTTGATCCTATTGATAGAAGTCAACTGGCCGCTGCATGTTGTCGTCCAACTTCCACATGTACCTGCATTTCGAAACGAGCGAAGGACTCCCTCAGCGATTTGTTGTTTGCAAATGTCAAGTCAGAAACCTCTGAAGCATTGGTCCTCGAACGGTCTATCGACGTGTTTACTGATGGCGCTCGTTCATTATATCGATCCTCGGGGACGAGTGCGCAGATTTGATTCTGCTCGAGAGGCTTTCGTTGCTCCTCACTGAAAATCCCACTTTCGTAGTTCTTCTCCCCAACGCAACAGGATGGATCCGGGATTATCAGCGAGGGCCGGATGATTCCCCACCGTGACTTGCCCGGAGCTTTGCGGTGCGATTCTTGCCCTCAATCAACACCGTCGCTGCTATCAGAGTCGTACATGTATCGTTTATGACAGTCGTTCGGATGTTGTCAGTTCCAACGTTATCGCTCTCGGGACTCTCGGAAGATTCGGTGCCTTCGGCGAGAGGAGATAGTACCAGTTGCTCAGAGAATGGCCAAAAAATACGTCATCCCTACTTCCAGCAGTCGATACCAGCGGGTTCATCCGTCATTTTGGATACGATCCTTTTTTGTGCTGGCCCAACAGGGGGAAAGCCGCTGCTGGTCCGTCGGATAGCTCACGATGCCGGTCATCCGTTTATGCCGATGTATGCATCGGTCGGGGCTCGACTTTTTGACGCGTGAAACTTCCGGCTTCCCAATCCCGTTGAGACTAGCCGAGCCGACGACCTTCTCGCCTTGGGGACGCACGTGAGCGAAGTGATCGAAAGGAGGAGAGCTTCGCATCTCCGGGAGCTCCGCCAAGGCGCGCGACGATCTGCGGTACTGCGGGCCCGCTTAAACATAAATGTACGGGAACGTTCCGGCTGACGCGATCCTTACCCCCGGATGGCGCGGAGGAGCCTCTCCCGGGGAGCTCTAATTGCTAAACTCCGGAACGCGATCAAACCCCCATCGTGCGGAAGGAAGCTTCGCTTTCTCTTTGTGTCAAGAGCCAGAAATCCAGGGGAGTAGTCGCCGTAGGTGTTGTGCCTCGACGAGTGGTCGTTCCTGCTCTGGCACGGATCCAAACGGATGAACCTCGCGGGAAAGCTTGCTCTGCGGAGCCATTGCTTTCCTCTTTCCGCTTCGAGCTCAGTCCCCGTACCGATGGCTGGCAAACTGCCCAGAAGTGATTCGCGAGGTCGAACTCTCGAAGGACGTCTGTTCCAATCTTCGGCCTCCCTAGATGAGAGCAGAAGCCCTGATCTAGAACGCGGGATAATGTTCGCGAACAGTCCGGGCTCCCATATGGACGAGCGGCAGTCTTTGGAGACAATGCCCACCGCAAGAAAAAATAGATATACGGCGAGGGCCGAACTCCGAATGGAGTATCCTCCTGTGGAAGACCAATCATCAGCACAAGGAAGGTGTCCCTCACGGAGCTGTGAGGGACAGGCCAACACGAGATTGCAGCGAATGCGGAGAAGCAATTGGCATCGATCGAATGCATTCAAATATTGCTTTTCTGTGCCGAGTCATCACAGCTCATAGTTCCATGAGCGAGCGACTGGGCGGCCGGAGGACGGGCGGGCGTGCGTGCAAACGAGAAAGGGCCGGAGACTTCGCGGCAGATTGGGCGTGAGTTAGTGACAGTCTGACGAGCGGTGACTTATTGGCAGAGCCCCGGGCGATTGTGAGTGCTTATCTGAGAAGCGAAGTAGCTCCGACAAACTTTTATTACGATAACATAGCGAATTTGAGTCAGGACTCGAACTCATACATCGGCGCCCAAGAGGGCGTGAGGCCCTCAGACTCTCGCAGAGCCTCGATCGTTTGTTTTAACGGCATGCGGCGTCCGCCCGCTCGCCAACAGACCGGAGTCCATCCCGAGTCTGTCTCGGATGTCCCTATGTCTTTCGACGCTGGAAGTGACAGTCAATAGTGAACGTTCGATATACGATTCGGCGACGGATTCATTTAGTCGCTGTCTCTTCCGTGCTGCTTTGAGAAACCGTTTCTGCGTTCGACAAGAGCAGCATTCGCGTAATTCCAGAGGCGCGAGTGCGTTCTGCACTATAGATAGTCGAAGCGAACCGGGAAGTCCTCATCATGCCTTAGCGGGGGGTGAGACCGAGACTGAAACGGAGCGAGAACGAGTGTTTTCGGAGGCGGAATAGATCTACCATTAGCAAAATGGAACGTGTACGGGAAGGAGAGGTCTGAGAACATCCCGTCGAGTGCAGTTAGAGGGCTTCCTCGTGATTAAATTTGTCTTCAATGGCATATCTTCGCGAATGAACAAAACGATTCCCTTCACCTTCATTTCTGGAGGAAAGAGGCGTTCCAGCGGTCCATTCCGAGGGGTTCTTCTCACCTCTTTCTTGGACCCTGGGATTCTCCCTCATATCGAGACCTATGACCTCGGGGTGGTCTCCCTTTTTTTTTCAAGTTCGTGCGATTTTTTCCGCGAGTCAATCAGGAACTCTAACGCTCACCTTTCTCCATCTATATTTCAGGACCAAGAGGTGCTGGCAATGTGGCTAAAGAACCTGCATTTTGAGGAATACCTCCCGCTTTTCGTCAACTCAGGATACGACATGCCGACGATTTCCCGAATGACTCCTGAAGACCTCACGGCTATCGGGATCACTCGGCCACAGCATCGCCGGAAGCTCAAACAAGAAATTAGTAAACTGAACATTTCTGATGGGATACCAGGTGAGCTCCTAAGGAAAGAGGAAACCCAATGCAATTCCCTGACAGAGTCGACTCATGGACATACCCCCTCGTCCTCAATTCTCACACACCACCCTGTCGCGGTGCCGATTCGTTTGTGTACAAAAGCGTTGATCTCTATCTGACATAGCCCGCGAGCTCGTCGTGGGTCCTTGCGCCATCCTAACCTCTCCCCAACTGAGTGTCGCGTCCAGAGAACGCGGAGTGGTGCAATGATTTCAAATATCTTAGAGGGAAAGGAAAAAGTTGCGTTGGACTCGAATTTCAGGCCTTGCCGAACTTCTTTGAAGCGGCTCGCTCGACACTTTCGGAGTTTGACGGTGATTTCCACGACCAACTTTGCATCATTTCTTTTTGCATTTTCTTTCTTGTTCCTCCCTCCTTTTGTTGCGTCGGCACTTGCGGTAATGGCTCATTTCGCAACGTTTTTAACCTCTTCTCCTTCGTTGCAGATTACAAGCCGGACAACTTGCTTCTATGGTTGAAACTCTTACGACTGGATCAGTACGCTCCCGCTCTGACAGGCCAAGGATATACGACCATTGATAAAGTTGCCGAGCTGACCTGGGAAGATTTAGAAGAGATTGGAATCCAAAAACTAGGTTCGTAGCCAACAGGGCTCCCGGTCTCACAATCGTGCGAAAGGGTAACGGGTACTTCCAGCGGGATACTCAAAGAGATATCGTCGGTGCATCTACTCGAGTCGAGGGCTTGTTTGCCTGGCATACTGCAACTCGAACAACGAAATCGTCTCTCGAGTCGTTCGACTTGCGTACGACGAGGCCAGGGCTTTTCTCTCTTCGGTCTTTAAGTCGGCGAGATTTGAAATTCGAAGCCGTTTCTCTGTCCGAGAAGTTCTTACTCAGCTTGAAGAACTAGCGCAATCCCGGATGACTGAGCCCCGGCTCGACCCGGCCATTTATTAGCCGCCGAAGAAGCAAGGAGGGTCTCACAAGATTCTGTGTGGCGTTGTGGCATACGTTTTATTGGCCTTTCAAGGGCCACCCGCAGCAGCAGCAGCGGCGGCAGCAGCAGCTTTGTTATTACTCGCGGCCATCGTCGTTGACGTCGACGGAGACGACGACCGACGGAGAGCAGATGCCGTCTCCAATATACAACAGCCTCTCTTACGGGAGGGACGCGCAAGGAGTCGCTTATTCCTCGTCGTTTCTCATCGTATGCGGAAAACGCGAGCACGTCAGGCTCATTATTCTTATGATGATTGCAGGACATCAGAAGAAGCTCATGCTAGCTATAAAGAAAGTCAAAGGCCAGAAGGGACTTTATGGAACACTGCCCGTAACCTCACAGATTTTGGGTCCTCCGAACAACAATCCTCAAATGCCGCAGGTGACGAGACACCCGAGTCTCGACATGGGCAATCCTCACGCAAGGCCAATCACAGTCCGTGAGTACTTATTCCTCCCTTATCCCCCAGAATCTATTCCTCCGGAATTATTTTCCGCGAGCTTCGCCCGTCACTAATCCGACGCAATTTATCCTCCTCGGACTCCGTGTTCTGGATCGGCGCTATAATCCCCCCATTCCTCTGGTGGCTCCCGCGTCCCCGTTCCGTTGTCGTCTCATTGTCAGCTGACTTAGCGGCAGTCGGATCTTGTTCAAAATTCTCGAAACATTAGCGGAACTCCGGCTGCTCTATTATGTAGCAGGAAGCTGGCGGCATGAGATACCGACGTGCTAACGGATTCGCGCCGTCCCCGCTCGTTCTAACACTGGCTTTCCTCTCTCCCTCTCAGCGGTCCCACCGAACCAGTACGAGGCTCTCAACCAGCCGGGACGAATGCAAAGTTTTCTAAACAATCGCAGCGCTTTGCGAACGGTTGGTTCGGGGAGCGATCTCCAGCGAATGGATAATGAAGATCAGCAGCTTTACATGTCACTAGAGATGAACAATCAAAAGAATCAGCGTGCAACGGGACGGTCGCTGGAATCTCTGCAGAACGATATGTACACCTTCCAACAGTAAGTCTAAGGCGATATTCCTCGCCGATTTCTCCGGAAGCTCAGCTCATGCATCGGGGGCATTATTCGCGCGATTTCCTTATGCGCTCGCGTTCGGCTCGGGACAGCCTTGCCTCGCATAGTTACATTCTTGGCTATCGGGTTTTTCCCCATAAAGGTCGGCTAAATAATTAATGTCGAGGAATAGATGTACGCTTTTTGTACGGCCCACATTTCCCATTGTGCTGGCGAGCGAGAGCTCGATATGCTGTGTCATCAATCACTTCCTTCGCTATGGCCGCGGATCTACGTAAAATCCTCTGACGTCGTCGGCTCACCCGGAATAGACCTAATTACTTAAACTGTTCCTGTCACCGGGTCTTGCGTCATAACATTGAGCAGATGCGTCTCGTTAACGATATCAGAGACGAGAGCGGCTTGAAATATTCGAGCTCTATGCGGCTCTGAGCTCGAACTCACTCTAATACGACGTACGGCGAGAACAAATGAGTTCCGTCGACCCTAAACCCCGAGGGGACGAACGCTACCGCCTAATGATCGTGTCGCGCTCCCCGATAAAGCCTTATTGATTGATAAGAAGTGTATTGCATAATATTCACGAGCTTCAATTGTTTCTCCTAATAGGCAAGATCTAAACTGGAGACCAAAACAATTCGATCAGCCGCACTACGAACCCATGGAGGGCACGGCCACGTTAAACCGGCCCCGCGGACTGGTGAAGCCGCGACCGGTAGCGAAAGTGACAGGAACCTCGACAACGTCGCTCCGAGACGCACTCAACGACGATGACGACGACAATCTGAAAAGTGGACCAGCGTTAATCTCGAAGAGGATTCTACCTTCGTTGCCGCCCGCTAAGCCCCCACTCGGTGACGTCATGGCTGACACCGCATTCGCGACTTGCGTCCAGTCGTTGACGTCACGTTTCACGCTAGCGACTCAGGATAAGGAAGACAAGGACGATGCTCTTCCGGCGGTGCCTCCACCGATGAACGCGACGCTGAGGAGCATCTCCAAAATCAGCCAGATCACAAATACGGGAAACCCCCGAAGGCCAGTCGAGGCGTCGAGGAAATGAACAAGGTGAGATTCTATTTTTGCTTCTGGTCGTCGTTGACCCGACTCGCTTACGGCTATTTACGTTACGCTTAATGGAAGCGCGCGATGAATACGAGTCGGAGACAAGCGATTCCCAGGACCGTACTGTCCCTGATTGGACCGGGGCTGAAGTTTGAGACGGAGCCGCGAAGTAATTCCGAGTTCAGAGCTTGACCGACGTTCCCCCCTGGGGCCTCGGGGAGCACATGTTGTCGCCGTTCGGGAAGAATGTGGCGAAGGATTGAAGCGTGAAGATTCGGTGGAACGGACGTTCGAAAACAGACGCCTCGGAAAGTGCGTTGAAAGCGACGGCGCGAGGGCAGCGTTTGTGGCAACAGACGCCCAACGGAGTGGAAACAAAGTCAGAGCGCAACGGAAGGTTTTCGAGCCCTAGCTCGTGTCTCCGGGAACTCTCGCCGCTCGTCAGTCTCCTCGGGCTCTTGATTCGAAGTGCGAGACACGCGAGAAAATAGTTTCCGGCGTTGATTTCGTCTCTAAACTCTCTGGTGGAACCCCTGTCCCGCATCAGCACATCGATGAGGTCCCAGACCCCGACCTGTACGAGCGGATCCTCATCTCATAACACATCCAGCATACATATTAGAGTACGGGTCTCCTTTCTCCATTCCCTCTGCTCCACTCCTCGGCTTGTTTTTTCTATTTCAATTTTGCTCTGCGGCTCGACGTCGGCGCGGGCGGCGTGGGAAGACGACGCCGAGGCAAAAAAACACTTTGTTCCTCAGCTGAAAGTCAACAACACGACTCCTCTATTGCAGACCGAGAGAGGATCCTTCCCTCGAGAGCGGTGGAGAGAAGGAGGAAGTCCTTGTGTGTCTAACCGAGTCTTTTATCCAATTTCAGGCGAACGCTGGCAACGGCCCACATTTCTCGCTCATCACCGACCAACAGCAGAAGCACAACGGAGTTGACAAGAAAGACCCGCCTTCGCCACCCCAACGTGATTACTCGCCAATCACAACGCCGAGCAAGGAATCTCCCTTATCGCCATTGAGCGCGGTCTCGTCCCAACTGGCCGAGGTCAAGCGTCAAGATTCGAACTCGAGCCTTGCTAGCGACTGCGGGATTCCGTTCGCCAACGAGAACGTCGGCACCATCAAACAGAAACCACCCCATCCGCCCACGCCTGATTACGAAACTCCGTCTGCCCTGCACCAGCAGCAGCAGCAGAACTCCCCGCAGTCGCAGCAGAACCCATTCGGTACTGTAGGTGCTGGCGGACAAAAAAATTCACCGTTCGATTCGTGCACATTGCCTCGGCGGGGTGTTGCCAAGCCGCAAGTCGAGCAGGGGACCCTGAAGAAGAGTTTTGCGGATTCGCCCCTTTTGCGTCGTAGTCAGTCAGCGAGAAACCGCGATAACGAAGCGAATCCACCGCCGCCTCCCCCCGCGCCGTCTGGAGGACACAAAGTAACCGTGATCGACGACATCGAGCACATGCTGGCCAGCCTCACCGATCAGTTGGATGCAATGCTAGATCACACCGCCTGAGACCACAATTGCTTAGGCTGGTAGCCAGACTAGTTCTGCATTTAACGGTCAATTACCTCCGTTTCATCAGTGGATTCAAATTCTCGCGAACTCATCCCCGTCACGATCCCGGTGACATTCATCCCAACAATCAACGCTTCTTATCCCTCGGCTCTCTCTTCTGCATCGGAGCTCAGACCCTCGTTCGAAGCCTATCCACTGGAGCATAAAAAGTTCGAGATGGATATTCTCATGCAGGAGAGGCAAGCAAATCAGCTGTTAGGGTGTCGGCGAGCTACCGAGAAAAGCACTCGGTACCGCGCCTCCATCTTGAGCGGTCTGACCCGGATCACGCCTTACCTCAGTTCACCTGTCGTCCCGCATACTCAGCCGGCTGGCTGATAGCTGAGTTACTGATTACCTCATTGATCAGAGCCTTTCCCGCGCAAGACCAAAAAATAACTCAGGGAACCAGTAGGCTAGCGTCAGACTCGTTGAGAGCTCAGATCATGTACCGACGCATAGATTGTTGTTAAAGAATGGAAGAGTATTATCATCTTTATTTTGTCCACGAGTAGCGGACTCGTCATTCGAATGACGAGTATATCATTATCCAGATCATCGTGATTATAATTATATATCACAGTAATCATCGACAGTTAGTTGAAATACTTAAATCAAATCGATACAAGACACCGGCACGGATAGCGGTGACGGAGCACGGAATGGCGGCCTCTGGGAGAAAGTGGCTCGTACATGGCTCAGGCACGTCTCTCGTATACTTCGGAGCATACAATCTTGTGCGCGAATGGAACTCAGACACTCACACACAAAAATGTAGGAGGCAATCCAGGCACGTTGGGAATGGGGCACACAGAAATCCACCGCAACGATGGAGATCGCGTGCGTGTATTCTTCAGGAGGCCATCGAGCCCGGAAGACCCTTAAGAGGTCAAATGTTCGTTACTACAGCAGCTTTACGAAAAAAATGCACTGACTCGAGCGATTTAGATTTTCACATCGGACTGCCCGATTGAATTGTGATAGGAATCCAAATTTTCTCTGATAGCCTTCTTTTCTCGAACGATTCGCTCGGTTTCAGTCTTAGGCTCTCATCCGATCGCTCCACCACAAATCTGAATTTTCCCCTTGTGTTTCCTCCTCAACTTGGCTCTGAACATGTGAATATACATAGCCGTCGATATCTCCACTGAAATGAGATGGCCGAAAAGAGTATCTGGATAATATATCGATACATTGATTCCTCTTTTTTCTGATGAGGAATTCTCAAACTGTCGTTCGTCTGACGATCGATTTGATCTGTCATTTGATATTAATGCTATGATGAGGATGATGAAGTCACGAGACGATTTTCGAAAACGACTGGAACGACGAGAACAGAAACAATATGTCTTGTTATCGGTAGGTTTCGAGCTGGTCAATGTGGGTCTCAGTTCGTCAGAGCGACGTTCGATCGACGGACCATGCTCCTTCCAGAACAATTGGGAGAACAATCGTCAATGTAATCATTACGAAAAGAGCCACACTCACCTCAAGTCGCCTCAGATGCCGTTGTTTTCGATATCGAGGTGACAAATCGAATTCGCTTCTGATTCATCTGTTCCGAAGAGAGTCAGAACTTGCGAGACTCATCGATGTAAGCTTCACTGAGACGTCAGAATGTACATATTGAGAGGAGGAACAAGACCGAACAAAAAAGTCTTCGAATCGTCGAATATTCGACAGCGACTGTCTCAGCTCACAGGGTAGTTGTAGTTAAATCCACTTCCTTTTCTCCTGAGAGTTATCCTCAGTTTCCGAATAATTAGATTTCCCTCTTTGGAGATTTGAGAGCGGATCGGAAGTCCGGCAGCCTAGGCCGTGTTGAAACACTCACTTGTATAAATTATTGTAGGTAGTTGGTATCTTATTTTGCTCCCTGAAATAAAGGATGCGATGGAAGCTCTAAAAGATGATCCCAGACTTTTTCTTGCTGAGACACTGCACACTACGCGCGGATTGAAGCAACAGCTACCGAGGCTCCACTCTTGAGAGTAGAAATAAATCAAGGTCAGCCAACTCCTATTATCCGCATGACTTCCTCGATTCAGGTGCATCTAAGAATGGTACCGCTGTTCGCTCCGCTCGATATTCTGATCTTGAGAGTCGATTGCTTACTCCTTGAAGCAATTTTATCGATTGGAGTGTCCACAGACGCTTGGGGCCAATGGGTGAATATTGGACTCATCAACGATGGACCGATCAATAGCAATACGCGGTGCGTCCCACTAGGGCACTAGGGCATGCTTCGGGCAAATGATCTGTAGGGGTCGAATATGAATCGCCAACCGTATGGAATGAAGAGTCGTCGCATCCCGAGGATATCGGAGATCTGCATATATATTTATATTCAAATAATTTTTCGTTATGTATTCTACGCGTTCCTGTGCAGCTACATCCATCATTCTTCTAGACACTCACGGCACACGCTCCCTCTATCTGACAGCATGTGGTAATGTCGATGTCACACAAATTCATCCATTTCATTGATTTCACAAGACCCTCGTGAACGATTTCGCGAATACACGGTACACGGGTCTGCTATCTAATCACTAGAGAATTCCGAGAATGTTCCTCTGATTACGTCTCGCCTCGATTTTGTGCCGTCCCTCTTCCCCTGAACAACCTTTCGGCCTTTTCAGCCTCGATCCGAATCCTTCATTTGTAACGCAATTTTCCTTTTGCATCTGGAGTCTGCCCCGAAGTACCCGAGACTCCAGAGCTTCTCGTGTATGTCTTCCGCGAAACACTCTCCGACCTGGGCCGCTTGTTGTGTCCCCGTTACAGTTTCGCTCCCGTACGAGCATCCCGAGCTCCTCCCAGTGAATACCTGATCCCGCGTATCCACCGGACGCGAACCCTCTGACAACTAATGCGACGGGAATGCATGACTTGGCTAGACGGTCGCGCCGAAAACCTACCGGGTACGTGAATTCGAAGGGGCTCGAGAGGAAGATTTGTACGGATTGGGATAAGCTTATGGGTTTCCATTCTCACATTCAATCATTTTTTTACAATAGCAAAAATCAACAATCCTTACCGCGGCCTGATAGCCTCCTCCAGTGGAATATTCTTTCTAGCAAACTCTTCAGATTTCTCTCCGATAGATTCGACCTCGCCTGATCCGTCCGCGACGGCGGCGACAATCAGCTAAATGCAGAGACACAATTTGTCTCGCTAACGGAAGAAGATTTCCAATCGAAATCAAAAGTAAAATTGCTCCTGTCACGAAGAAGTGCACGATTATCCTTTCCAATTCAGATCAGGCTGCGTCCTAGAAAACCGGAGTTCGAACACCGTTCCCCACCCCTTACTTCTGAGGGGGTACAAAGGGAGTACGCTCGCAAAACGGAGCAAGATACCGTAGGCGAACGGAAACTGTCGCGAGAAATCTCCATCGATGCACTCCTTCCCGAGCAGTGGACGCAAGGTGTTCCGACCGCAGGTTATGTCCTCCGCTGTTGTTCGTCGTGTGGAGAAACTGAACAATCTAGAACAGAGAATGCGGAGCGAGTCGCTAACTATAAAGTAGGTTGGGTAATGCCCCTAGGAAGTCTCCGGCGGAAAGAAAATCACACGCCCGTTGTCACTCTGTACATCATACTCTGGGAGTGTAGTCCAACCAGCAAATACGAGGCTCATTGCAGCAAAGTTTCTAAATCGATTAGTCAGTCGGTGATTCAATCGACCAGTCAGGCACGCTGTCGGTTCAATGAATTCTCCCCACGATCACTCATTACTGTATTGCATTGACGTTCCTTGTTTTGAAGTTGACGCTCCTTCCTGCTCATTGCTGCATCCAGCCGAAGGCTCCCAACTGTTCTCCTGAGTTTGCTTCTTCAATTGACGGAAGTACTCTTCTTGAGATTCTGCGAGGACACGAGCCAGCACGCCATCGTCGTAATCCTCAAGTCCTGGAGAAAATCGAAAATCTGGATGAGGACCGATACCAACCACGCCGAACCACGCTCGGGATCGATGCCCTAATCGACATTCGGTGTTCCCTGGAATTCTCGAGAGGGCCAGGACTCCAGAATACTCACCGAACATCTCTGGGGGGAAATCACTGACGCGCGACGCTCCCGTAGATTCCGAGGGGCCTGGATGGTCTTTGGAGCTGCAGGGTTTGGGACTGTATCTTGAACTGCAGGAGGGATCCTCTCGAACCGTCGAAAGTCTGGGCGAATTCCGCGGAGACGTTTTCGCGCTGCTCTGAGAACTCCCTTGGGTGCTGCAACCGACTTTGGGGGAAACCCGTCCACTCCTGGGCGAGGACGAGCCTTTAGGGCTTTCTCCGCCGGTCGCCGTTCCTCTTTGACGTTTGCGGTTCCGTTCCTCGTTCTCGCGCAGAAATTCCAGGTAACTTTCGTGAGCGACCTGCTGTTCCAGGGCTTCGCTCGTTGCTTCATAATCTGTTGCTATTAGCTTGTCTTTAAGCATCTGGCGCCCCAATTCTGTTTGCTCGGACGCCCTGAATGCCTCCAGGAGCTGGCTCTTGTCAGCAGCACCGGGTTGGTAGCCGGGAAGCCCGAGTCCGACCCCGATCGTCGGTTTGTATGGGTTGATGATCGAGTTGTAGTGAACCCCTCGATGGTAACTCAATCTAATCGGATCGAGCGCGTTCTTGTAGTCGAACAGATTGATAGGTTCTGTGAAGGGAAATTCTTCGTGAATAACGGAACGGATCGAGTACCCGTCGCGGGGATGGCTGAGGACTCGAGATCGAAATACCCAGGGCAGAAGCGATGGAGGCGAGTTCTCAGCCTGGAAACTCACTTTCAGAGTAGCAGTAAATCTCGATAGGCCGGTTGAACAACTCAGATACGGCGTGCATTTCGAGATGGTTCCCGTGAGCGTGCGCTCGACGCTTCCGCGCGACATAACGATCGAACGGTTCTGTCATGTAGTGTGAGAAATAGTCCGCGTTCTTGGTTATGTAATCCATACAGCGCTGACGGATGACGTCGTGCATCTCTTGGTCGCCATACACCTGATCGGCCACGGCTCTGAATAGGCAAGCACCGTCTTCGACCATTTTTTTGATGATGAAGCCCTTTTTCTGTTTGAGGATTCTCTCGAAGCACCTCTCTTTCTGCAAATTCGGAGATCGAGAAGATGTAATTTTCATATCGCAATGAATCCGGTTCGAGTCTCCAAATGGGGACGAATCGAATTACGTGTTACACAGGAAGACAGACCTCTGCTAGCTCGCGCTCGCTTAGGGGGTCCTGATCCTGCCGATCGTATTCGTCTCCTGAGTTGTACGCCGAGTTCTCGTTTTCAGAAGGAGCTGGCGCATTTTCTTGCAGAGGACTCAGCGGCGGCAGAGGCAGCGGGGCCGAAGGAGCCTCCGAGGGCCCGGCTTGGCACATGGGGGAAGATTGGGGTGATGTCAAGGAGGCTCGTTTCCTGAAATTCAAGGAGCGTCAGAGTGGGTGATTTCCACATTCGGACTTCCATCCGGACGCCCCGATCATCGTCGGTTCGGGTCGAGGAGGAATCACGGAGACGAATAGATGACATTGAATCTATGTGAGTCGCTCCGTAAGAGGAGCGTCGACCCGAGTTGGAACCTACGAAAAGTCCCGAGGGGGACTCCGCTCCGAGTCAAGCGAGATGGATCTACTAGGGCAAGAAAACCGTTCATCTGATGTGAGAGCATTTCGTGCTCCGGTGCCAATGATCCTCTTCGAAAGAAATCTCAGACTTCCCTCGAGGCGGAGGTTCGTGTCCCCCTCAGAGTCAATCGTTCCCGGAGTATAAACAGCCTCCGTGGTCAGACGCGGAGACAAGTTACGGCTTCTTCTTCAATCGAAACCACACAACCATGTCATGATCAACCTGATTCACAGAAAGCCGTCAGTCACTGAGATACTGCTTCTTTTATCCCAATTTCTCACTGGGCCTCTCCACGCTTTTTGCTCGTTCGCGAATCTCCCGCACGGAGGACTCCCACCTGTCAGATCGAGTCCGGGGGCAGAACATTCCGAGTGAGACAAAATGTGAGCGACAAATTCGAGAATCGGAAGTGGGGAGTTGCGAGTCGCCGACTACTTGGACCGATCGTCCTTTCCTCAAACTGAGTCTCGAATTTCCGACCGGTGAGCATATCAGACCATGAAGAAGATCATATTAAGAGGGAGTCGTCAGATCGACCTCGAATGACGCAGAGCTGTTGTTGCTCCAGTGCGAACATCCATAGTCTAGAATATTCTAAGCATCCCCGAAATAGCAGAAGATCAAACCCGTTCCTTCCGGTACTGTCCAGCCTAGATTCGAAGTCGAGCAGATCATCGCATAGCCCATTAAAAAAGCAATCACACGACCCGGATGCGATTTTCTCCGCGACCGAGTCAAATATTCTGGCAGCGACAAAAGAAACCTACGCTGAGAGAGAACATTCCAGCTCCGCATAGGGCCCTATTACCAGTTTGGCTCGCTGGGCTAACTACGAATAACGAGTCAACTCAACACAGCAACACGCCATAACGGCAGAACGGCACCACGGATATCGAGCAGGTTTCGCGTCCGCAGCTCACGGTGTCGAGAAAGCACTCCAAGATTGATGCACATCCATATCACACAATCAAGTCATTCATCCTCAGGCTCCACTTCTGTGGAGGTTGAGGGGCTACAAAGATGGGAGCTCACCTGTGACGATGCGGAGAAGTTTTATGCCGACGTTTCTGGCCCTGAGGTGACGGTGTGTCTCTAGAGGGCGATTCTTCCGGCTGTTGTTCGGGGGAACCTTCTTGAGGTGCCTGCGTTGCGTCCTTCTTGGACGACTGAGGGCGAATCGTCATGGTGATGTCACCTACAGATCCGAGTTTGAGATGACAATCTCCGGGATCGGGTGGTCGCCGAAACCTCACAGCTATCCGAGGAACAGGGCTGAACTCCCACTCGAGGAAACTTTGTTATCCGGTCCGAATTGATGTTTTGACGTGGTATATCTATCAGGCTGTACTTCTGCAGCCAGCAAACGGCTCAAGATGGCGGCCCTTTTGAGTCAGACTACCAGCTGGTTTTGGATCGCGCTGCTGCACGAATGTTTGTTTACGATGTCAGTTTCGTCTGCTACCCCATTCCCGACATTTGATTCACAAACCTACTCACCCCTTCCCTGGCTCACTCAGATTTCTTCGCTAAGGGTCTTAGCGTGGCACCTCGAGCTGGAACCAATCATGAACGATCGTGACGAGATCGAACTAGAGCTACAGAACCTAGCTCGAGCCGGGTCCTGCCATATTGGAGGCTCGAGGAGGGCCTACCGCCTATCTCATGCTCGAGCGCTTCTTGACGGCGAGAGGCCGAAGCCTGAGCGCGGGTTCGAGACTTTGCCGCTGTCCTTACGCAGCGATGTTTCTTGAGAATCAATCCGGAACGAAGAGCCCCGGATCTCAGAAAAATAGACGTCTGATGCAGGGCAAGCCGAGGACAAGTTCCGAGGAGCTACTGAGGCTTCTATGAATTCTCTTAAGTTACGTATATTTATGGCTCGCCATTCGCTGGCCAACGTATGGGGATCTGACAGTCTTCTTCCCGGATGACCCATACATTCAGCGAGCTCGCGTTCATGCTCGACGATGCGAATCAATCCCGTGCCAAAAGACTGAACGAATGGTAGAGGAGGGATGGCACCTCGACGAACCGGTTCTGGAGATTCCTCGGCATGGTACTCGAATTACCTCCGATTCCGCGTCTACGGAGAACTAGGAAAAGTTTTTGCTCGATCATCAGATCGGGAAAGGGGTGGATGTACCTCCCTCAGATGCGGAGAAAACAGTTTGGGACTCTCTCCCCGAACCTTTTCTCGAGGTTCTGCGGACCGTGAGTCGGCCAGATATCGAGTCCATGGCACTTCTACTTGTGCAGACGGAGAGAAAATACGCGAGCGTGTCCCGAAAATCGCCGACTCCCGCGATATTCCCGTTAAAAAAACCTCCTCCTCGACGCGCAGCTGATCCAGCGACGAGAATCTTATTGAGGATTCCCGGAATTGGATTTCTCAGGACGGTCGGGATAATTCTATGCTTCCGGAGGTATACTCTTCTTCCCCGGTGTTTCAAGACGCTGGCGACCTCCGTAGGGCTGTGCATGCGTGATGCAAGACTTCCCGACTGAGGTCGCGCACTGACTTCTCATTCTTCACTTCCTTCGATTGCTATCTTGAGCTATTTTCTTCATCGGGCCTTGATCGACTTCCTTGTTCCGTTTATTGTCGCGCTGTCACGATATTTCCATACTCTAAAGTCTGGATGGTTTTTCATTCAGAGGTTCGGGCAATATACTGGTATTCGGTTCATATGGATCGGAACCCCATCTGGGAGGAAGTATCAGAGAGAGCCCTCGAGGTCGGCCGGAAAGAAGTTCCTTATTGCTCGTATCGACACCCTGTCCCGATAATGGACATGGGTCGGAACGAGTCTGTCCACCTGAGCGTCTTAATGCGATGGAGACTCTACCGGTGTCCGTCTCCCGGCATTTGATCAGGTGGAGGAGTGGATTAAGGTGAGCTCGGGGAGGATCGGCACGATGCTAGCGCCGCAGGTTAGCAGATCCCTCGATTTCGAGTTGTGGCGGGCAGCCACACACACGCCTCCTATGGAGAGTGTGTCGACCGGTCGATCTGAGCGGCATTCCGAATTTCGTTGTAACAGGGGAGATTTTTTTAGTTTTGAAGAAACCATCGAAAGAAGAGTGATTGATTGAAAATTGCTGGGATGCCTCATCGTTAGCCGAGTCAACGTCATGTTTTGTGGTGAGTGGCATTATCCTGCCGTATTCTTGTCGATGTGACATGCGAATTGGCAACGGAGGATCGATTGTGTATGAGTTCAAAGGATTTTTGAATCACTGTTCGATGAGAAGTTGTCTCAATCACTCCAAGCTGTCCCATAATTCCGGATGAGCCAAATTATAGGCAGCAGAAGAGTCGAGAAGTGATCCGTCGACAGCGAAAGCAATTCGCCTCGTGAGACACCAAGAATTCAGAGGAGCCATTTTTGGGCGAAACACAATTGCTTACGATTCTGACACCGGTGTAAGCTGGATGAAAATTCTATTGGGAACGACTGAGAGTTTCCTTATCGTGGAAAATTATTGGTGCGACCCGGGCCTTGAGAAATCTTCCATCAAGTTATTCCACTTCCTCCCATCTGGATACATGATGGGGAAATCGATCCAATCGAACGTCCATGCGCTTTCCCGCTATCAGACATCTGAGCAGGTCGCAATCACTAATTCTGGGTCTTCTTGATTCTCAGGTCGAGTGGCAGTGATAGTCCTCGTCGCCGGGCTCAGCCGAGCCGCGACTCAGTCGGAAGAGCTCAAACCCAATTACGTGTATTACGACAAAGGCGAAGAATCTTATCCGCGAATATACTGTTATGGTGGTCGTCCCTTCACCTATCTTGGAGTATTTGCGTCCGCCAGAGTGGAATTCACTCTGCCCCCGACTTTCTACGATTTGTATGAGGGGGCTAACGAGACAGAGGTCGATAGCGAGTTCCAGGAAAACAAGCGCAACTGGCTCCCATTAGTGCCATGGAGAAGCAACACGATCCCTTTCCGAGCATTCGAGCGCAAATGTATAGGCCTCTTGAGCAGCTCGGAATACCGTTTCAAATTCCGTAGTTTCAACATCGACTACCTGCGCATGATAATGTGCGCGATGGGTCTCATGTTGTTTTTCAATGCTCACCGGATAGTTCGCAGCAAAAGCGTTTTCTATTCGGGTGGAGTCTCCGTTGGGGTTGTGGCATCCTTGCTGGTGATTTTCTTCTTCCTCAGTCGAATGATACCTCGTCGACGAACAATGTTAGTCAGTCTCCTCATGGGCTGGTCCTTCTCGGTGTACATCTTCCACAAGCTCTGGACGAATCTCTACGAAGTTCTCCACGAGCATCGCGCCATTGTTTTCACGTATTTAGGGGTGGCGGCTACGATTTCGTTCGCTTTGTGTTATCGGTGCGGTCCACCGACAAACGAGAAAACCATCGATCTGATGCAGTGGTCGGTTCAATTCATGGCCCTCGCTGTCGTTTACTTGAGCTCCGACATCCAAGAAGTCACCTTGGCTTTCTGTCTCGTAGCTCTTCTCATTTACAACATTCCTCGCGAGTACTCAGCTAAAGTACAGACTTTCGTCAAGAAGAAAATCTTCAAACCGAAAGTTAAGCTTTTGAGCGAGGAAGAATTCATCCGCCAGGGAGACGAATTCACGAGACTGGAGCTGGAAAGACTCCGGAAATTCGCACAATCTCCCGATTGCCCTGCGTGGAAAGTCATGAGCAAGTTGAAGAACCCACAAAGGTAAGCCATCATGGCCTGTGTATCAGAGGAATAGAGATTCAAAAATATATATGCTTGATCGAGCATATATCTCTAAGAGAACATCGAGCTCTTTCGAAGGAGTTCAATCGAAGTCGAAAACATATTCATGAAAAGGTCTCGCGCCGCATTCTCATTGGTCCGGAGATGCCGCGCCGGTCGTGAATGATTCGGACAGGATAATCATCGGTAGGTTTCATGTCCTTTCCAGATTCGGAAGTTTCGTCATGGGCGAGAGTCATTTGGAAGATAATGAGATTCTCGACTACGAAACAAGTGCTCGAGTTCAGGAGGACGAGTTAACACTCTTGACCGACGACGAGTCGGACGAGGAGAATTATCCGAGAATTCTTCCGACAGACTTGTTGAATGGAGACGGTCCGAACAATGCATCGAGGCAGCGACGATGAGCACAGAAGGCCGAAAACCCAGAGACGAGCTGGATCGATTGTAAATAAGTGGTGTTACTGCATCTAGCAGGGAGTTCCTCTGTAGAAATAAAAAAATTGTATACAATGTCTCCATAGCCGAACTTCGTACGTTTTGACGAAAGACTCCCTCATATGTATTCTAGATAGAGGGGCGGAAATCGCTCCTGTACCAGCGCGATCGTTCTCTTCGGACTCCAACCGCATGTATTGAATGTATCGAGGGTCGATCACATTCCGGTCGGAAATACTAGTTGGCTGCTCTTGTGCTAAGGACCTTGATGATTGCCCGAAAGAGAGAGCGAGTCGTTCCGTAAAGCAAATATCTCCTGAGCATATTTGGGGGAACCCCTCCGCGAACGACTTCTCGCTGCCGCTGCTGGCACGTTGAGGGGGGGGTCTCCGCGGGCTGTGGACTCCCTTACTTATGCACCCGGAATCCATTCACCCCGGTTGCCTGTGCTCGCATTTTGTATCCAAGATTATAGTAGCCTTCGACTTGTGGATATTGAGTCGATAATGGTGTATGGGTGAAATTTTTTATGGTGCGCTAATATCTGGCAAGAAAGCGTAAAAAAGAACAAATCTTGCTGTAATGTGGGAGGATTCAGAACGCCGTGAGACGCTGATGCGTGGGTCGTCATGCATGTTGGCTCACGAATACTTATCGGTGATGCATTTTTCCTGCATCGGCACCTACCCAGCAATATCGGGAAGTGATGATATAGAGATCCTTGGTTCTAAGCAGACCCAGACTTCCTATTTGCCCACAGATTAGCCTGCGAGAACGCAGAAGGGTTCAGGGATAGATAGAGCGCGGAGATGCGCGCTTCATCCATCAGATTTCGGAATAATGCTCTCCGACTCGAAATCATCAACTGGCGAAGGAAGTCCGGTACTTTTCTAGAACTCCATTTTGTTTCTGTCGGAAAACGATAGTCCGTCCAGATTCGTCTATCAGAGGGCGTTTTCGAGCTTGTCTCTCTGAGCCCCTAGATTCATTCACTCGAGTATCTCTAAACGGAAGGAGTCGGGCGGCACAACACAAATTGTGCTCATGTTTCCCACGGTGGATCTCTAAAGTTCGAGAACCTGGCTCAGTGCAGTTCGGAGTCTCCACGATTCCATTCGACAACCCCCCGCCTCTCCTCGTCAACTCCGAGAAGGAAAAACGACCATGACCGGTCACCTCTTATTCTTGGAGCCCGCGATCATGGAGTATACGGTGTTCATGCTTCCGAATTTAGTTGCGTGCGTCTTGAATTTCTCCGTTTATATCGTCATGAAGCGTTCCGATGCTCTGCAGCAATCCAAACATCTCCGGCAGAAAACCTTCCTGCATGTCTCGATGGGTTGCTTGCTCAACTTCGCGTTTTTCGCACCCGTGTTTTTCTTGCGTGAGTATGTGCTAACACTCGGGATATTGATCCAGTCTAGCTCCAATCTTCAGCGCCGGGTCGGTCTGCCGCCGACTTTGTCGGATGCCTCAATGACCTGACCAGATCAGTCGGCTCCTGCTTTGCAACTCGTTTTATAGCTATTCCTTGAAATCGCTCAATCCTGCAGATATCTTCAGTCGGGTGGTGAACACGATTGTTTTCCGATTGCAGACTCCAATTTTCTGTATGACGAGCTCCCATGCAGGGGATCGGTATTCTTGACGGAAACAGGCGTGGGGGTCACTCATCTGAGTTTGGTGTTGGCGATATCGAGTCGTTACCTCAATTTGGTCAATCCGTATGGAAAAGCGGCGATGTTCTCACAAGGCGACTTTGGCATCCTCATCTGGGTGGTGGCGGCTGCTCTGCACAGTCCGTTCTTGTTAGTTTGTGAGTTGTTCGAGTTCCAAAGGTACACGACCCATCGGAAGACTCACCTCAGTCTTCCGAGAGAGATGACGCTAACGTCGACGCTTACCCTCTGCTCTCCAGCTTCGTCGCAGCCCCGGAGCGATCGCTGCACTGAGTTTCTCATGGGCTGGACCGATTATTTCGTCTTCCTCAACCTAATACTCGCGTTTGTTCCCCTTGCTATCTACGTGACAGTGCTGTACCTCATGCTGAAGCTTAGAGTGCCCGAGGACGGCGACAATGAAGAGGTTCATCGAATCCTTTGGGCTGGCCTCGTCGTTCGGCGATGCCTCATTGCGGCGTCAGTCACGCTCCTGCCTCTACTGGTCTGTGCAGTTTTGTTAGGTCGCTTTAGTGAAAGACTGGGAACGATATGCTTATCGGCCCTCCTGTACTGCTTGCAGATTCTGGCTGTACTTTTGTTCGGCCTACAGGAGTTATTCTTCGCAGCTTCATCAATAGTTTCATGTCTCATGATGCTCATTTCTGTGTTGGAGCCGATCACTTTCGCGATGTGCGACGCCGCCTTCCAGCGAGAATATATGTAATCCAATTTCCACGACCAAATCGAACTGCACGTATATGTACATATTAGATATCACCTTGCCCGATCAGCATCATCAAATCCGACCGATTCTTTTTGTCTGTTTCTTTCCAGGATCCAAACGACACTCTCAGAACATCCTCTTCCCGCTCACCGGAGTCGTAATCAAGGAAATTGTGGCCCTGCAGCGGATTTCATTTGAGCCGGAGCTCGGGCGCCAACCTATAATCGGAATTCGGGTGTCCGTTTTCCGGGATACGAGCAGCGATCCTCAGGGAAGCTTTTTCTTCGGCAGTGTCGCCCATGCTCATACAGATAATCGATTCGAGTCTTCTGCATAGAAGTCTGTTTTGTCTTCGCGATATCTCAGTCAGCGCGATGCATGAGCGTTAATCCGTCCGATCGCCAAGCCAGACGATTTCAGTACTTTCGGCGGCTCTATGTGGGATAATCTTCCGGTAATCTGCGGAGGAAGGCTCTCAGCAATCCGGATCTCACGGAGTTCAAGCCTAGGGCTCGAGCACGGACCGTGTCAATATACCGTGATGATTCCCCCGAAATACCGCGGGAATCAGAAGACTCTGAGAAAAGTCCGATGTCCCATCGACTTAATAAAAATCCGTGCAGAAGGGGAATCACTTTTGCTTTTCCCAGCGTGATTCGCAATCAGCCCTGGAAAACTCGCAAGTTTCCGACGCGTTCTACCACGGCATGTTGGTTCCTTGTTCCGCATCCAGGACGGATTGTTCTTGATTCTCGTCATCACGGAAGTACGCGAGGTGTCCAGCATATGGTCATGTCAATCACATTTTTCTTATTTGGATTCGCGCGACACGCGGGGTTATACGGGCTTCGGCTCCATGAGAGGGGCACCTCAGATGAACCGCATCAGGAGAACAGCCGCGATGCTCGGTTGCAGGAAGCAAGGGAAGCTGCACTGGACAGATTTATTTGTGGTCTCTGATTCATGAAGCATGGAAGACTAAATCGAAGGAACGCCCTCGTTTTTTTTCACGATAGAGTTACAGTTTGCGTCGCGTCGACTGTGGGAACCTACCACATCCGAACGCCATGTAAGGTCTCATTCAGGGTCGAATCAGCGCTCGCATGCTTGATATAAGGGTGTCTGAGAATGTCGATAATCCTCTCG